AGTGAGTCAGAGGTAGAGGAGATTCGTCTGATAGTTCAGCTGGCCAAATTGATCCCAGTGCGCACACGGAGAGCTTTTGTGTGCCAATATTGGGTTAATCAAGTTGTTCCACGCTGGCCACGCGCGGTCGGAAGAAAAGGAGAACATCTCTCGTTGGTTTTGTATGTACATATATTTGCACGGCGACGACGAGTCCGTCTGCAATTCAAATAATCTATCTTTCTCTCGAGTGCACGCCTGGTTTCCCTTTAACGAGATACTGTGGCTGGCCTTCGACGGAGACACAGAATGGATTTATAATGTAGACTGTGCAGCCCTTGTTGGCGCACCTTTCGCCGCAGACGGTTGCATCAGTGTATATAACCACTGGAAAGACTTGAGAGAGTGAGTTCGCGTGCTCTTGAAATTCACCGATGACGCAATTTGAATAAAATCCATCCAATCTCTCTGAAAGTCGGAAAAACATTTTTTTCCCATGAATCAGACTTCCTGCATTTTTCATTTCCTTAATGAGAAATATTAAATATACGTTTTTCTTTTTACAGGATTACAACAAACTGGTCTGCAAAAAGGTAGGATTTTCTCTCTCTCAAACCACTCATCATAATTATTTTTGGAAAAAAAAGACTAAAACGTACAGCGACCGCATCTGTATTATTCCTTTTCTTTTAAATCATCGTTTTTATATTTGATGAAAAGTATGACATGCAAGTAGCTTTTCTTTAAATGCTCCACTTTTGGTGGTGCGCAGGCAGAACCTGTTGTCTGCAGCATTTTGCAAGGTCGTAATCCTGCTGCCTTTTTTTATTTCAATTATTTTAATGCAGTGCTATCTCTCAACATTTAACAATGAAACGTTTGCATAACGAAAAAAACCCAACAGGATTAATTATTAATAAATATGAAATTAATCAATTGACGAGCGTAGTTCGACACTAAAATATATTTATAATAATTATCAACAATAAGTTTATTCAATAAAAAATGTACAAAAAAAAGATTAAAATTGAATCACTTAAATTTATGCAAGATTGGTTTAGATCAATTTTTTGCACGAAGTTTGTGAAAGGTAATTTCCTGCACAGTGTTGACACTAGTTTTGCGTTTTAACCAGCGTGATTAATTGTATCGCTTTTTTAGTCGAGAAAAGTTCTTTTCTACTCGATGAATGCAAAGCAAATTGCAAGAAAAAAGTCAGCAGCGGAGGCGTTGTACACGTACGAAGAAGTGTTCATCCAAGGCCGGGGTGGGTAACGCGATTTCCTGCGAGTGCGAGTGTCTCTGATTTTAGCACCTCTCGTCCTGCACCAAGGGAAGCCAACTACTTACTGAGCTCCGTCATGCTTGATTTATTTTACCGGGCGGCAATCGCGTCACAATCAACGCCGCTTCTTCTCTCTCTCGCCCTTTGCTCGAGCAAATTTGAATAAACCTTTTGACCGACTCGAGTTCGCACTGCTGTGTTTCGCTCTCCAGGGGCCAGCCCTTTTGTCTCTCTCAGATCGTGAACTCGTGAGTCACACACACTCTCGGAATCAATTCAAGGCTATGCAATCAGCCAAGCAACGTGACTCGCGAAGCATGATTTTTATTCCTCACCATAAGGCAGCCTGCAATTTGGCTTTTTATTGCTGCGCTTGCTGGCATTCAAAAGAAAAAGCAAAAATATTGTGCTCACGTTTCAAAATATTTGTTGCTTATTTAGTTTACAAAAAGAGAGCTTTTTAAAATGGTTTGCCACAGAAAATGATAAATTTTTATATCTGGAAACAAAAATTAATTTGTAAGAAAATCCACAAGAAATTATTCCAGTTAAGATTTTATGACAAAAGCTATGACCCTAAAAAATTTAACCAATTTAATCGAGTGATTTTCGTGCTTGGTACCTTATTTTGAGAAATAATTGAATTTTTAATTTCTCAGCAGAAAAATACGTTTTCATCCTATTAATTTAATGCGATTACTTTGTGGCCTCTCCTATGAGGAAAATGTCTCCACCTTTCCCGGAAGTTCTATTCATCACTCGAGTTCAAAAGTTTTCATATATACGGCATTCGTGCAGCTTCCCGCAACTTTCAAGAGACTGAGCTCTCTTTGGAAAAGAGCAATCAATGATTTTTCCATCATCAGTGTCGCGTCGGAAACTTGACAAAATTACTTCTGAGCTGATGACCGGCGAGTGGCCAAGGAGAAAAGCAAATGACAATGCCCCTTTCTCTGTTTGTCTTTGCGGCAGCTGCGTGGGCAACCCTCCACCCTTTATGTGTGCACACGCGAGCCAAGTGAACGGCCCTTTCTTTTTTGTCTCTGTGCGACTCGTTGTCGACGGTGAGTTGCGAGAAACGTGCGAATTGCAAAGGAGGCAAGAGAAACAGATTGCGAGCGCCACTTAGATTCAATTTATCATTGAACGCGTACACGTCCAGTCTGCCTACCGGTAACTGAACCGACTGCTGGGAGATTTATTGCGCAAATTAAGGTTTTTGTTCGCCAGTATGACACAAGCATATAAAGTGAGCAGGTGGCAAACTCAATGTTGATGCGAAAATAAAAAATTTAAATCTGAAATTTAAGAGAACAAAAAAATCTCAAAACTTAGTCGTAAATTAAAAAAATAAAAGAAATTAATTATTTTTCTTTACAAAAGCGTTCTCTTCTTAAGTTATTGTATAGAATATTTAAATAGTGGAAATTTGCGCGAGAAGAATAAATAATAAAACCCAGGAAGGTTGCCAAATTTGTTTCAAAATTTATGTTTTCCTTTTTTTTAAATAAAAACGTTAGTTTAAGCAAAAGTTTTTGTTTCGCAAGGTTTCCTTCTCAAGTTCATGTACAAATCGCTTCCATAAATTATTAGCTTTTTCCTATGTCAAAAGCAAAAACGATGTATTTGGCGTGACTATATAAAAAGTTAAAAGCTTTTGCCAACGGTTATGCCGCTTTTGCAAACTTGCTAAGAGACAACAACAGCATCATCGGGAAAAGTCTCTTCGCTCCCAATAACAAATTTATCAAGCAATCCAATTCCACCGGGAACAAAAGCTTTGTCGCTCGAGGAAGAGATAAACGGCAAGAATTGACACAAAAATAATTGGAAAACTTCTTTTCCTGTCGCGCGACTCCTTGGCAATTTTCGCCGTAATTTATCTCACCACAAACTTTGAATTCCGCGCGGCCGTGGAATGTGGTGAATTAATAAAGAGGAAGCGGAGCTGCCACTGTCAATTACGCCGCTGCTGATTAAAAATTAATTTTCACGCTCTGCAAAGTGGCCCTCGGAGTGATATACACGCAGAGAATAAAGAATGCTTAAAAAGCTACCTTTTTTTGTACTGGGGTTTCCAGAGTAAACATGAACATTTTTAATACTTTCAAAATGAGAAAAAATGTCTTGTGTGTGCATACTTGAGAGCAGTGAAAATGTGAAGGAATATCTAAATAAATATTTTTTTACATTCTCCTTCCGAAATTCAAAGAAAATAAATTATTCGATTCTCAGCCTTTGAAATTTAAATTAAAATCTGCCATTTTCAACTTATTGCAATTTATTCAAATACAAGTTTAACTGGCGTGCAAGGTTTTGCATCGCTCTGGATAATTTTTTTGCAAACACTAAGAAAAAAAATAGAGGAAGTTTGTACAGGCTTCATTTTGCACAGCTCTTTGATTTTTCTGCCTTTATAGTGGGTGAATCGGAACTAATCGTTGTAATCTATCCGTTCAATATTGGCGGCTATTCATCGTCTGGTGCGGAAGACCTTCAGGGAAGCCTGAGCATTGCTTGAGAAATTGGTTTTTTCCTTTCATCAAAGTTGGCAGTCTTTCATTATGTCGCATATATATAATAAATTTTATATTGACTGGCTTAAAAATCTTTTCAAAACAAAAAGTTGGTAAAAGTCGTTAAAAAAAATTCAACTCTTTATCGAATAGAATTTCAAAGAATTTGAAGAATCTCATCTCTTGCTAACTTGCTTTTGGGGTTTGCTGGTGATAACTTAGCATGTGAATTATGAATATTAATTCTGTGGCATAATTTATTAGGTTAATAATTGCATCAGCAGATTGAAAGATTTCGTCTAGGACGATATTTTGTTTGTATAAATATTGCCAAAAAGTAACAACGGAATGTGTCTCAATTCTTTTCTCATTTTTACTCTGAAAAGTTTCGAGACAGCATATTTTTTTTAAAAAGAAATTTTTTACTTCAGAGCTTGCTTGAAATCTCGGCGCGTGTGCTGCTGCGTGTTATTACGGCTCTCTTGCTCCACATATGGCCTACATCAAAGAGTTATTCAAAACTTTTAGGGTGTGCGCGAAACTTCTCATGAGAAGGCAAACTCGCTGTGCACATTTGCGCGCAAAAGTAAACAACGAACTATCCCTTTTCAGAAGGCTAGTGCGATTAAAATTGACACGTTTCTTGGCACTTGCTGGTTGGACATACGGAGAAAGGTCAGAGTTTGCTGGCGGAACTGAAATGACGTCATTTGTATGCAGACGCACGAGCCGCCGAGATGTTTTCTTGCCGTCTGTGTGAATTTGAGACGTTCTTTCTCCATACTAATGTTGGGAGCAGGAAAAGGAGCTGCTTTCAGAAAGGGTGGCACGCGTTAATTTTCATCACGGGGCGCGACGCGGCTTGGGGCAGAGGGATTAACTCAATTGGCGCTGCGAGAACAAGCTGACGTTCACAATTTGATGTGCTCAATCTGTATTTAATAATTTTCTCAACAATGTAAACCTAAATGATCAATTTCATGAAATTACGAAAATAGTTTAAACAAATTTTAAATGAGAAAAAAAATTGTAATTTACAGTTTAAGTCTGGAATAATCTTTTGATTTATAAAATGTTTTCTTTCAATTTCACGTTTAATATATATTACAAAAGGGTTCTCATCAAATTGACTTGCTTATTTGTTTTAAAAATTTATTGTGTCACCAGTATTTGATTTTACAAATATCATAAGAAGGAATATTATCAGTTTTTGTACTTACCATTGGGACATGTGAATAAACTAGAAGTTTCCTGAAACAAACAAAAATTGCACATTAATCGATTTGCTGGCGGATCGAAGATAATCATCGCAAATGTGTTTGCAAAGCGCGGGGGCGGGAGAATTATGTCAAGTGCGTTTGAATAGGTCGAGCTGCTCGCGGCCCTCTTTCAGCACAAGATGCGGTTTGCGCATAGCATAATCCTGCCCTACTCTCGCGGGGAGAGACGCCGCCAAGCATGGAGTGCCGCGGCTTAAGTTGGAGAACGTTTCCTTTCTTTCGCGCACATGTATGAATTTCAAGACGTTGTGTGTACCTTCCCATCATCAGGGCAAACAAGGGCTGCACTAGATAAAAAGCTTTGAATTTTTATTTTTCATCCACTCTGATATGCAAATCGGATTTGTTTTTGAATAGAGTGCACCAGCTGCGTGGTACAACACAATATTCCTTGATAAATTTTGCATTACATTCGTTTGTGTCGTGAATTATCCGCACACCGGTGCCGTGTAACTGTGAGAAACGTATCTTGCTTTGTCTGCAAAAGAAAGCAGTCGTCGTTGCTGCAGCTAGGGAATTGCATTACAATTGCAAATCGCGTTCCCGAAGGATTTGTGCTAATTGTGTCTTTCTCGTCTTGTGAAATTAAATTTTGCACTGGCCTTGTCTCAATTTTTGCTCAGTTATAAGCTCTCTAAATTTATGGAAATTTCCTGAAAAACTTTCAAAAAAATTCTGAATTTATTAAAATTAGCAAAAAATTTGTTAATTAGTATTGGCCCTTATTAGAAATTGCATGAAATTTTCCTCATGGATAAATTAAAATCATGTAAATGAGATAAATCAACTTAATATTTTTTTATTTAATTTAAATATAAAGTTTTAATTAACAATGCCCGGTTTAATATTGATCGAGAATTGTAGACTTAAATTTTGACATTTAATTATTAAATCTTCTCATCTCCACCTATGGAGCTTTTATATTCTGACACATCCAGTGTTAATGATGCTTTTTACATATATTTTTTTCTATTTGCAAAACGCTCACGTCCCTTAATCGCGGTATTTTACTCATCCATATAACGCGCTCTCGGCTCTCTTTCGTGCAATTTCTCTCCAACACAGAGTGCAATATGAAAAGAGCAGATTGTGTTGAGCATGATGCAAAAACCAATTCTGTAGCACACACGTGAAGAGCTTATCTCTCGCTGGGCTGGAAAATAAGGGTCGAGTGCGAGGATCCGAGCGCACAACTTTTTGCCCTCAGAAAACTGCACGCTGTGCAAATGAGCCGGCAGAACATATTTTCCTCGCAAATATGCTCCTAGCTGATTGCACACTACAGTGCAAACAGAAACTTGCGCGAAATGAAAAAGAAATGAACACTAGTTGGAAAATATTACATCCCTAAAAATTGACATTTTCACTTCCTTTCACAAATCGTCTAGCATGGTTAAAGTATAGTACCTTGATCTTTTTATTCCAGACACGTGCGAAAATTTGAGAGAAAAATTGGAGACTTATGCTGGAGTGAGAGAGGCGGAAAGAGCTTTTAAAAGCCAAGGATACTTCTGAAAATAGGGAGTCGCCGTGCTTGAAAAGAAGACGAAAGGAAAAATGGTCTGTGACTTCTCGCAGAGAGCGCAGATATTTTTTGGTTTCCTTGTAGAGTCGTTTATTGTATGCTTTCGTTCGAAGAGAGCAGCAGCTACTGTATTCAATCTCACAACAATAGAAAAATTGAATTGAATCAAATTTCTATTTATATTTCAGTAAAAACCGAATGATTTTTGACCAAAAGAACACCCTAAAGATTCGTCCTTCCATTTTATTCAATATATGAAATTTTTATAATATTTTGTTTATAATTGTTACAGGAATTTTGCGTATTAAGATTTTGTAGTATTTTTTTTATATATATAATAGACTGTGTTTTAGATAAATAATATATATGTCTCAAAAATGCTTTAATCTATAGATTGAAAAATCAATGCAATATCAAAAGAGATCATAGGGTCTGTAAAAATTCCAAAGTCAAAATTGTTTGTTCTCTGATTGAAAGCTATGAAAACAAGCACGGGTGGAGCATGTTTTTGGTCATTGTTGTGCGGGACCCAGATAATGGAAAAGGACCGTGATCGACGGACAGCTGGCTGACAATCCGCATGCGAACAAGCGTCAATATAGAGGTGAGAGGTCTCGGGTGCGAGCGAGGCCGCCGCTGCGTGAATTCATATTTCAGGGCGTGGTTTTCGTAATGAAATCCACGGCTTATCTTTTGCTCGCCACAAACCCTATAACAACAAGCCGCACACATGCACTCCGCACGCTGGGAACCGATTCGCCCTGTGCAAATGGCCCCATTCGGAAAATAAATCGGGCCTTGTTGTCGGATAATAGGGTAACACGCGGCATTCCAAGGCCAGATTTCGACGCGGATACCTCTCGAGAATTGCTCATTGTTACGGGGCGGATTTGAATTATGGCTCGGTCTATATGGAGGCGTTTGTTGTTGCGTTCGCTCTCCGGAATTCGCCGCTTCCTTGATGGAATGAGGTGATTTTATTGTTGCAGATTCTCGCGAATACCCAATTTTGGAAGGACAAAATGAACATAGAGAATCTTAAGCAAGCCTTGTTTTGCTAACCTTGCGATATATTTAATTTAAATTGAGATTTGATCAAATTTTGGAAAAAGAGTTATTTATTCTTATTCATTTTAAATAATTTGAAAGATTCAAACTAAGAAATTGCAAAAATTTATGTTGTATATTTGTACCACAAAGTAAAAACACCTGAGCAGAGCCACGATTTTTTTTATTTTGTTAAAATGTATTTTATTGAAGTTTCAGAGGGGTAGTGTGGAACAAAGAATTTAAAAGCTTTCTGCTAAAATGCTTTAGTTATTCTGGAATGTTTTGTGCGTACAACAATCTGTCTTTGCAAACGGTCCCAGACCAGCCTCTGGGAAAAGCTGCAGCAGTGATGGATGGGGCTTAAACATTTGCAGGGACGGAAGCATATTTCAGCACCCCTTTCTCTCCGTCGCGAAAGAAACAAAGCGCATCAGTGGAAATGAATTCCGTCGCACTGCAAAATTTCTTTCGCTCTCGAGAAATATTGTTGATGCGTGCTTGCTCTTGACATGCGTACAAAGTGTAAAACTCGCACACACTGACGTGGTGAGACAGTTTTGTAATAATTCTTCATTTCGAGACTGTAAAGAAATAACCCCCTTGGTCCGGAAAATTTAATTCAAACGGGCCACCCGCATTTGAAAAGAGACCGTCAGAGGAAGAAATAAATTACGAATTAACCCTCTTCGTCTGCCTCAACACGGTGAATAAAGACATTTTCATTTATATGAAACACAAACAAAAACCCTCTGATCCTTTGGTTCTCACTTAATAAAAGCCCATTTAAAATGCATTTGACGCTTCATCGAATCATTTTTTATGTGGAGACACGTCCTGTTCGGAGATGAAAAATTCTCGGCTTACATAAAATTCTATTGTGCGAGGTGGATTTATTTTATTTTTTTAGCTGGGGTTGGAACAGGTAGTTGGCCTTTTGTGCTAAAGAATCTTCTCTGCTTTCAATGGCCGTGCACGCCGCCGAGTCTGCCGCCAGTGAAAAAGAAAAATAATGGTAAGAATGCGAAGGTGAAAAGGGGAGTAAAATGTCCGGGCAGGTGAATAAAAAATATAAAAAGCTTTTCGAGCCTTCTGTTCTTCCCGGTAAGCTTACGGATTTTTCTCCGAGTTTAAAGAGGATGGAGTTGCCCTGACTAGCTTTCCTCGAATTTGAAGAAATCCTGCGAAAAGGTCATTGAGAGGATTTTGCTTTTCCTGGTATTCGGCTCAGAAAAACTTTGGATAAGATGTATTTTTTATGCACTGGCCGCTCTTTTTCATTTTTTTGAGAGATAAGTTTCTAGCAAGGGTGGATATTATCCCCGTAGGGCACAAATGAGAACAAATATTACCCCCTGTGATTTTCCCTAGTCATTATCCGGCCAATTTTGAGCCCTGTTGGGGTCAAAAGCTTTTTAAATGTTCTGTGGAGTTAGACGGAAGTATAAAAAAAATCGAATGGTTACTTGTGGCTTTAAAATAAAATAGCACTGATCTTTTATTTTCTCGGTGACTTTTGCTTTTGCACAAAGAAATCATCAAAAGTCATTATTATGATTGCTTCTTTCCCGCTTTGCGAGACAGGTGTTCAAAAAGCAACGAAGCCTGAGATTAATTAAGAAAAGCAAGCACAGGATAATGAAAGGGAGCGGAGAGAAGTGCCGCAGGTTTTAAATTATAAAAACGAATCTTGCTGTGTGGCTGCGAAACGATGATTTATAATTATGACGAGTAGCAAAGGGTGGTATGGAAAATGAATCGGATAAGTTTAATTAGCTTTTTGTCGGTACAATAAATTAATATATATCGAAACTTGAGTGAGGATGTGTGAGCAAAGGGCAAAAACAAATTAACATGGTGAGCTTGAAATCAACTTTGATTAGTTTTTCTGTGACATCAAGGGACGACTGACTTTATTTTATAGAAATGAATATTTTTAATTTAACATTCATTCCAGTCTTTGAATATTTAAATAACATACTTTCATGGAAAGTTAATACAAGATTTTGAATTTTTATAGGTAGGGGCGTAACTTTTGTATATTGTGTGAAATAAAATCATTCCAAATCGACGTTTCCACATGACACATTTCCTCGCACAAGTGAATTCAATAAAGCAGGTGCATCCGACGGCACGACAATGCTCTAAAAAGCAGCACGCATTTTCAGATGGTAAGATTTTCACAATTTTTTCCACACATTGTGTGATCAAAAAAAGCATCTATGGCATCTTTCCACATCTATCTCGCCATTCTTGTGCAGCGCGACAAAGACCGTTTCTAAGCCCGCGGTGTGCGTAGGAGGAATGGAGAAGAAAGAGGGTCAGCCAGATTATGTGTCAGTGGCGTGAGAAAAAACCAACGTCGCCGACGCGAGAGCTAGGAAAAAAGCAGAGCGCTGCTCTACAGATATAAATTGTATTCGTGTGTCTCCCAGAGCGTAATAATAAAGAAAAAAATGCTCGCGATAAGCGCGCGGCGCGCATCCCCTTGCACAGCCAGACCCTTTGTCAGATTTGTCCCTTTTAATGCAGCCAGACGCCACAAAGAGCAGATAGCAACTTTCCTCTCTTTATCGTCGAGAGACTCTGCGGTGTTGAAATTTATTGCGTCAGGCAGGGTGGATTACACGGCTGGAATCCGATCAGGGTATAAAAGTAAAAGTCCGTTTGGGGTGCTTTTTAAGGGAAATTATTTGGGATCATCTTATCGCTTAGTATCTTTTGACGAATTTGATAATAACGAGCCGATAAGTAAGTTTGTGTCTTTTTTATTACTGGTTGACATGAGATACTTTTATAAGAGGGAATATTAAGTCTCAAATCAGCTTTTAAAGGTTAAAGAAGCTTCTTCATGAGATCAAGTATATGCCAAAATTTTGAAGGGATCAAGAGAAAGAAATATTCACTCCCACGTGCATTCCTTTTGGCTTGCTCATGGCAGGTAATTTAATAAGTAAATATCTTTTCATTTCAAGCTGTGACGATGACGTATTCAAATGAGTTTTTCCTCGCGTACCAAAAAAAAAATATATATAAAGTTTTGGCTTACCTGAGATTCAGCTGTCTGCTGTAGAAACAGCAATATTGCTAACGCGGCTAAACCGCGAAGCCACATCTTGCTTCTGAAACAATAGAAGAAATTTGCGTTAGTATCAACAAATACATTGTATAAAAGAGAACAGAGTTATTTTAAGTATAAAGAAGGTCTTTGAAGTGCGTAAATATGGTAAATATTAAATATAAAAGAGTCTTAAACAATTAGTCTATAATCAAAGTTCAGAGCTCCTTCCATTTTCCAGAGAAAATTTATTGAAGGGAAATATTAAGGTAAATGTTTTGCTCAATTTACTAGGATTTAAAATGTTGTGTAAAAAAGATTATTAAATATTTTCATTTTTTACGTCTCGCAATTATGTGACTGCATTGTATTTTAAACGATACAATTTTTTACATTATTATAGCCGCATGGTAACTGCTCTCATGGTATATTGTATTGTCAGCGCATGGTTTGGAACAGCAGCGCAAACATAGTTTTCCGTTGCTTCAATTTGCAATGTTCTTTTGAGCTAGCCTGCTCCATTAATGTTTATGAATGAGTATTTTCATTAAATATTCAAGCAGCACAAAGGAAAATATCCTCCAGGGAGCAATGAAAAAGGAAAGAATTTACCGCCAACGTCCTTTCATTATTTTATACCTAGCTGCGCATGACATTTGTCGCATATAGGGGTAAAAAGTAGAATAAACCTTCTGTGCTGTTCTGGGCGCTTTTGATCCAAAAACTGTATTTTCCGTAAGTTAAGCAGATCAAACAATTTGTGTGGGCCATAGGTAAACTTATAGTTAAGGAGTTTCTAAAAAAAGTTGAATAAATTATATTTTAATATCTATATCTGAAAAAAAAGTTGCTTAAATATTCCAGCAAAGGCACTAATCAAAGAAATGTTTATATTATTTCCTTGCCAGAACAATAATTTAAGTTATCAATTATCCATATCTGTTGAACTTCATTTTGAGACATTTTAGTTTTATGCATGAAATAAATTTATTTCAATATCAATTTGAAATACTACAAACATGCAAATATCCAACCACTCAATTTTTTTGGCAGATAACCTAATTATATGGTCAAAGAGGGATTCAGGAAAAACCACACGCGAATATTTGCACGTATTAACTTTGGCATTTCGGCACAGCGCTGACCCAATACCTGCGAGCGGTGTGTCGCATCAGAAAACCACATCACATTCTCGGCGGGCAGCAACACCGCGAAGCCAAAAATATTTTCCCGATCTTTTTTCAATTGCAGGGCCGTCTCAACGGACACTGCGAATCTTTTTCATATTCTTTTCATCGCATGCGTCTGTGCACTTTGCACCAGCAGGTGTCTGACGAGTGGAATATCAAATTTTTTACTTGGGAAAAATCTCGATCAACGTGTCACGCGGTCTCGGCCTACATTTTGGTTATTTATTTTTTTCTGCTGGAATTTGAGCTCTGGAGAGTAATTACGAAAAATAAATGGTGTGTGCAAGTATAAAATACAAGTGTACGGCCGTGTTGAGTGTGCAACTGTTCAGACACGCAAGACACGAAAATACAACACCCTTTGGCTACAGAGCGTTATTTCCTCCTCGAGTGCATTCCATTACTCTTTTCCGAAGGGCGCGTCTCTCTCTGATGTTGGTTGCCGCCGCCGCCGCAGGTAGAAAATGATATTCATCATTATTATCAGAGAGGCTTCCTTGTTAATGGACTCTCCAGAGAGCAGTTTATGAAAAACGTCCGTGTCTTCCCCTTTGAGTAATTATCTCTCTGGAACGGTGGCGACGATGAATGCAGCTTTGAAAGGGGTTCATTAAATACCCGATTGAGTTTCCTTGTGCTCTTTTTGAGAAGGAGATAAATGGCGTTTATTGCGTATATTAAAGGGAATAAAATGAATATTCAATGCATTAAATTTTGTTTCAATAGTTATTATGAGTAGCAATTTTAAAACATTCATTATATATTTTTATTAGAATATTTCAATTGCTTTTGTAGTACTGAATTTATTATTGATTCCAAATAAAATTCTGCAATTTTTTATTTGACTGTAAAGAGCAGGTTTCTAGAATGCAATTTCAAACGTCTCTAGTAAAGCGACCATAAAATTTCTGCTCAATGAGCCTTTTGCAGGCTATCTATTAATTAAGGGTGTCTTGACGCCAAAGTTTTCTCATATCAGGACCCTCCTTGCCGACCAAGGCTCCTTTGCCATACATAGCCTCTCAAGGAATTTCCACTTTGAAACTCGCTTTGAAGTTAGCAGCACCGGCCTTTTGCTCAAAGGCACGAAAAAGTTGATCCTGCAACGTGATCCGCGGCACCCTTAACGCAATTAATTACCACTAGCACGTGATACGCTCTTCACTTTCTTCATCTTTCTTTTTGTCTCGACGCTCTCCGGACCATAAATCAAACCCGAGCTAGGGCCACAGAGTTATACATTTTCCGTCATGACTGCTGGGGTAACATATTCATTTGCACCAGCCGATCATTTTTCCGCGTCCGCCCTCGCTCGGCGTTGGGAAAAAAACTACTTTCCCGTAAGCCCCGAGGGCGATATAATATTATTCCGGGTCCAACTTGTCTCGAGAGTGATTTTTGGCCTCGTTTTCTGCTGGGTACCAAGTCGATCCTTTCCCTCTCTCCGTAATATGTGGACATTGGAGAAGAAAGAACCAAAAAAGGGAAGCGGAGAATATAGTGTATTAGGTTACAATAAAAAAAGATTTGTTGGGCAGGGTGTGCTAGATGGACCGTATAAGAGTTTTCTTATATTTTTTTATTTCCAAAAATAGATGGAAATAAAACCGTTCGTTCCAGTGAAACACAATTGCCATCGTCATTAAGCTTGCAACGATAGCCATCAAAAAGAGTAAATATTTCATTTCCCTTGGCAACTCTCGGTGCTAATGAGAATATTTTTTCAAAAGAGTGCAATTACGTCAGAATCAATTGTTTTGATCTCATCGGGTCTAATTCACACGCTCAAGCAGCCTATTAGAATTGGCACCATGTGATTTTTCTCAATAATAATATTCATGTGGCAACGAGAGTAAATGGATTAGTCTGTGGGATTACTTGCTGCATCTCAGGCACGACGCTGTTCAATTGCAAGATCCGCGACTTTCTCTCGGTCACGACAACAAAGCCTTATTTCTCTTTTAAATTTTGCACTCGGTCTTCTGCTCAAGCGAGTTTTAACTCCGATTATTCGCTTGATCGAATCTCGGCACAAGAATTAGTATCCAATATCCAACCAGGCGTATGAATTGCTGAAAGAACTTTTCCAAAATATCTCTGTATGGATCATAATTTTTTTCAATAACTAATATATATATTCAAAATTTATTTATAATTCTAATATTTCATTTTCTGATAAGCTAAAAAGGTTGTATTTGTATATTTTTTATTTTAATTGGTTGATAGTAGCACTTTGTTTCTTTTTGAATACCTATAAATGATACATTTTGACAGAGATTGATATGCCAATAAACTCGTTTTTAACCTTTCTCATTAAAAAAATATTCAATTTTCGACCAATGAAAAACGAGGGATTGACGTCAGAAATTGAGAATGATCTATATCTACGCACCAATACCCTTTTAACCCTCCTTATCAAAAAATATCGCGCAGTAATTGGGCCTCATTGGTGTGTCACTTTCACAATTGTGCGCGCACGTGCGAAATTGAGACGGATTTCATTCCCCTCGCATTTTCCACCAAAGTGTTAAACGAAGCTGAAGATTGATTTTCTCATTACCCTTAACGAGCAAAAAGCGGCGGCTTATGACGATATTGACCTGGCGCCTGTGCTCGCGGATTATTTCCACCAGAACACCAAATTGTCGGATTAAATGGAATTTGTTTATAACTACGTTTTAATACCCTTCAGTAATTCCCAATTTCATGCCGGATTTTCGCTCAGACCCCAATTTTCTTGCTTCAAAGGCCAATTGGCAAAATATGAGTTATTGTGTCAGAGGTGGGAATGAAATACTCCCGCGCCGGCGAGCGTTCCGTAGCTGTAAATAAACGTGAGAAAGCCACGTGATTAGGTTTATATTGTTCTTTCTCGGCGCGAGAGGCTATTTTTTGCGCTCCATGGCAGGAAATAAAGAAGCGAAAATAGCAATTTAAAGCTCAAATCAAACGCAAAAGCCGCCCTGACAAAGCGGTATACAGTTAAACCACTAATTGCGAAAGGGAGCAATTAATATAAATGTGGTGGTGCCAAACAGTTTTTCTCAAAAAGGAAACGTGGCCAAGCGAGGAGTTATATTGGATTAAGAAAAGTACCGCGGCTGCAAAGAAAATTAATTAATCTCATCGGAGCTCACAGCAGGAGCTGCAACGTTAATTAATTCACTTGATTACTTTCCATTGAGACTCTTTGAATCTCATTGTCGATTAAGAAATTAATTATGCTTCCCCAGACGCCGGTTGGCAATCGTGTTCTTTTGCGACTCAATGGTTCTCCTTTTCCTGCGACTCTAATTTATTTTCGCAACTCTATATCTAACGTTTTGACGTAGGACCAAAAAGCTGAAATTTTGTTTATGAGCGTAAAACGCCAATTTTTTTCTCCTTCACTGCCCTTTCTTGTTGATCAGAAACGTGGAGACGAAACGCTAATTTAGCTTTTGCCTTTTGCAGAGAAGTAGAGCTCATTAATCACGAGCACACCGTCTTCAGTCAAAGAGCTAAAATTGTCAAGTTTTTTGACGGTTTTTCATCTCTAGATATCAAAAGAAGCCAAATGAATCTCGCAAGTTTAATCACATCTGAAGTGTATTTGTAAGATTTATATTAATTTATAGTTACTCTCTTTTGGAAAGAAATTTTTTTCAACCACCTTTTCTTTAATTCACATAGCAAACTTTTGTCGCAATCACACCCCATTGTACCCGTAAAAAGTTTTTTTTACGTCTCGTCTCTGGTCCTGGGCTGCCTGACACGCTAAAAGTTTCCAAAAGCCGTGTCGTACTTTTCTTTCTGCTGCGAGCAAAATAAATCAAAACGCGAAATATATATTTAAATTAGCCTCGAACTTTTTCATTTAGGAGCGACGAACGGG